GCCTGGCTAGGCAGCGCTGGCCCTGCCTGCCCCGGGGTGCAATGCCACGAGGTGCCCAGGGGCACGAGTGGCCGCCGGCACGCGCCACTGGTATGCTTGCGCCAAGTGACATAGGTCCTGCGTGGGACGTGCTCCCTGAAACCTGGGGTGTATCACTCGAGGGATGTGCCCAGCCCAGCTACCGACACCTCCCTGAACCTGACCGTGACAGGCACGGGAGCAGAGGCACAGGGTGGTGGTGCAGCGCTCATGGGGGAAGCTCCACATATGCTGCCATTTAGAATCACATGCTGTAATATATAAAAAAAAATAATTGTAGGGATTTGCTGCCCTCTGGCAGGATTTTCTTACAACTCTGATTCTCTGTGAACTGCGAGAGCAGTGCTCAGCGACAATGCTCCAGCACAGCAAGGTCTCTGCATTTCCCAGCTGGCTGTCGGCAAAGCAGAGCAAACCGCTGGGCACCGCTGCTGCAGCCTCCCCGCAGTCCTCCTGGAAAGCCAGAAGCACCTGCTGATCCCAGGCAGGGGCTGGTGTCAGGACTAGAGCTGCTGGGCTGGCAGGAGCGCCCTGTCCCTTCTCTCCATCCCTCTGGGGCAATGGGGCAGCAAGCCTGACTCCCTGAAGCTGGTCCTTCCGTTAGTTGTCTCCTCACAAGAGCAAGCCCACCACCCTCCAGCTTTGGCTGTACAGTCTTCTAGTGAGTAAATTTAGTTTGGCCTCTAATGCTGACAAGCCTGGAGTGGCTTTGCTGAGTTTGATGTCTTGGGTTGGCATACACTTTCTGAGACATACTCAGCAAATTGGGCTAATTTTCATTAACGTCATTTTCTGAAAGGCCCATTAATGCCAATATGGCACTTGTGGATATGTGGATAGTGGTTTTGAAAACCTGAGCCTCCTCTTCAGTAAACACAAAGTATTGTGAGGCTCATGGGGTGAGATTTCTCTGACAAGATGTTGAGTTCTGCAGTGTCTATGCCGTACTGCATTGGTGCTGCGGACTGCCTGCCTGGTCAGCAGGAGGAACAGGCACATCTTGGACACTTCAGAGCACTCTCATGTCTCAAACTGTCAGATGACTGTATCCTAAAAGCATCCATGGCTTATTAAAAGTACCTAGGTTGGCTACCTTGGATGTTTATGGTTTTGCTGCAGGTACCTGAAATTAGGTCATGCTATTCCTATCCTAAAACAGCAAAGAAATGGGGAATGGAGAGGTCCATAAAAGTACGCCAGGTGCACAGATACTCCTGATTGTTTTTCTGGTTTGAGATAAAGGGACGATAATATAGAGGCACTACTGCCATTAGTATATGTAACTGTTTGGCCATCCATATGACACCCATGTAGGTGTCACCTCCAGCAGGTCACAATCTCAGGAGAGATATATAGGTAGGCAAGGACTGAGGAAGAATAAATAACAAGTGGGACTCAAATACAAATCCATGATCATCCCTGATAGTTGACTCTACAGCTGTGTGGGATTTCCCCTGGGTTTTGAATGCAAGGGGGAGCCTGGAGTTGGAGGATGGATAAGGCTCTGTCTCTCTGTCCTGTTTTTGGCAGGGATAGAGTTAATTTTCTTCCTAGCAGTTGGTATAGTGATGTGGTTTGGATTTAGTATGAGAATAATGTTGATAAAACACCGATGTTTTTAGTTATTGCCAAGCTCATACTACCCTGCCAACCAGAAGGCGGGGGGCACACAAGAATCTGGGAGGAGGCACAGCCAGGACAGCTGACTCAAACTGGCCAAAGAGATATTCCATACCATATGATGTCATGGTCTGTATATAACTGGGGGGTGGGTTGGGAGGCAGGTCAACTTGGGGTCTTGCTGAGCATCAACTTCAGGTGGTGAGAAATTGTGCTGTTCATCACTTGTTTTGTATGTCCTTTATCATCATTATCATTACCATCATCACCATCATCATGATCATCAATCATCATCATCATCATCTTCCTTTTCTGTCCCATTAAACTTTATCTCAACCCATGAGTTTTACTTTTTTTTTTTCATTTTCAATTCTCTTCCCCCATCCTAATGGGAGGGAGGGGTGGCGAACAGCTGTGTGGTTGTTTTAGCTGCTGGCCAGGTTAAACTACGAGACTCTTTTACATATAAGTATATAGGCTTTGCTGTATATCTGCTTTCTTTTCTGCTTAATACACACATAATCGGCAGGGACCTTGTGACTAATGATTCTACTCATAGCAGTGGCCACAGGCCTTAGCATCAAAGTCCACATTGCACAATGCAGTGCTCTGCAGAGCTATCGGAGCTGGTCTGGAAGGCGCTTGCTCCATGTGATAGTGCACCCAGGCTAATAAATAGCTCAGAGCAAGCTCTCATGAATCTGCTTTATTGCTGTCAGGGGTTCGAACTTGTATCCCTTTATGATACTGCACAACAACAATGAAATATGTGTGCTTGTTTAGAGCTGTTTGGAGTATCTCTGGATGGCACTGTACTAGACAGGTCACGGATGTTCATGAAGCTGTGAAGATGGTGATAAAAGCCAAGGTTTGATTTTATAGTTACCTTTGTTATTACTGAGAAAGTCTGAAGAATAAGAAAACCATTTCTTCATTAACCTCTCCAGCTGCAACAGCCAGAGCCACTAAGACACCCTGGGGCCCACTGAAGTGATGGCAACATCCTCGCTGATTTCAGTAAGACCTGGATTGATGAGGCAAGCAACTGTGATTATGTTGACTTCCTCAGACTTACTTCAGCTGGGAATCTTCCCTCTTTCTCTGGGTTAGATTGTGCTCACTTTGTTTCTTCAGTGTTAGCATGGTAGATATCTTAGAAGTGGCTGATACCAGTTCATACAGCTATATATGGAACAAGTACTAATGCCTCTTCTGTTATGTTCTACAGACAAACTGGGAGATCAGCCTGATGCTGTCTCTTAAGTCATGAAAGTACTGCCTGAAAATGGGACACAGTTATGCATCGTTCACCTTTCAGCCCCTGGCATGGCTGTGCACAGCACTCATCTGGACTTCCCTCCTATGAAACCAGCCTGACCACCAGCTTTGGACAGGAAGCCTGTCATAGCCAGCTGGAACCACCAACAGATCCATGCTCCTGAGGTACGATGTCGTACTGAACCTGGAAATGCTCCATATAATTGGAAGCCCATTAGCTAAATCAAGAGGGCAGAATGTGACCATATTTTATTTTAATAGGCTTGGCTATTATCCTTGGTACACATCACAGGACGTCCCTGTTAATGGTGGCCTACTCCAGAACTTCAGCTTGCAAACTCATCTGGACAAAGCCGGTCATGCCATTAACTATTACACCACAGCTAAGGACTTCACGGGCTGCGAGTACTGGAGACTTCAGTGGGCCTGCAACTGGGATGCAAAAGATGTCTACAGAAGAAAGTCCAGGAAACTCATAACCAAAATGGAAGGGAATATTTCAGCAAATGATGTTGAACATTTAGTCAGACTTTCCTTTGAAGAAAGGGCAAAAGCTTTTATGAAGGAAACAATTGCATTAGGAATGAAAAGCAGACCTAAGGGCCTGTGGGGATACTATTTATGCACTGTCACAATTACAATTTCTCTGATCAGAACTACACTGGTTCCTACCAAAAGAGTGAAATTTTGAAGAAGAATTAAATTCCTTGGCTCTGGGATAGCAGTGCAGCCATGTATCTTTTCATTGGCATTAAGATATCCCTTGGAAACAGTCAAAACATTTTGCACTTTTCTCAGTTTAGGATGAATGAATCCATAAGGACTTCCTCCATGACATCCCAAGATTATGCTTTGACCGTATTTGTGTATACGCAACTAGGTTTTGGAGATCAACCTTTATTATTTCTCTCTATGGTAAGCTTTTGCTGGAACAATGTGGGCTGCATTTATGCTTTAACCATTCTTACAGATGGTGCATCAGGATGGAAAACCTCCTACTTGGGCCAGCTCTGCTGGTTCATGTTAATTGTCCACATGCTTTAAAGAGCTCAATGTTCTGAAGAAAAAATTGAGTCTCAAATACCTACTTTTTTTGTTTTACTTCATCACTATGCTATACTCAAACATGCATTTGAGTGGATTAAAAGGATTTTAGCAATTTGATGTAGTATGAAGGAGGCAGTTAATACATTAATCCCCCCGATGTACTTTCTTCTGCTCAGGTATGCAATCACTAACTAATCCCCAGATAGGGGTCCCTTTTATAGAAGTGACACTGAGGCAGAGATGTTAGTAACTTGCTCAGTGTTACATCAGAATGGCAAATTGAAGCCAGCGGTCTCTCTGCATACTTCCATCTCAAAAACATTACCCATACCTACCTTGGAGCAGGCGAATGGTGCACCAGAACCAAGGAGCACTGCTCACATCAGCTGAAAACACACACATATACACACCACCCCCCACACCCACACTCACACACACAGAGAAGTATTTTCGAGATAAGTGTCCTACCCTAGTCCTTTATGTGATTCTGGACATCCTCCCAGAAACTGGATGAAGACAACAGGTTCCTGTGAAAAAGCAGCATAATCTGTCACAGCCCTGGCTTAGTTCTTCCCTATAGACAGTGACTGCACTACGAGCAGGTTTCAAATTTTATGTTTCAGAGTTTAGCAAGTGAGCTGTATTCACTTTTTAAAGGCTATGTTCAGTCTTTCAGCCCAGGTACAGAGTCTGAAGCTGGCACCTTGTCTGGGAAGAAGCTTTAGCTCCCTCTTTTATTAGGTCCAACTGATCCCCCAGCACTGCCATCACCAAACACACTTCTCTCCGGCTTGAAGGCAAATGCCTATTCTTAGGCATTAAAGAAGGTGTAGGCACCTGCTTCGGTGCTTTTATCCAGCTTGCCCTTCCTTAGCTTTGCAAGAAGAGGATAGATGGACATCAATAACCGCTGCAGGCTGATGTGCATCCTCTTTGCCATTTTATACCCAGTTTCTGCCTCTTTTTGCCCTTAGGCCACCAATTCTTGTGAAGTTTTTCTACTTTGATTCTTGATGTGCTGTGGCCCTCAATCTCCCTTAAATCGATGATGACGTCTACAGAGTCACTTGCATATCAATGGTCTTTCATCTTGAGTGCTTGTGGCATAGTGATTCACTTGTTGCTTATCCTTAATCACTGTTCAAATTAAGGATAAACATCCAAGCACCAAATACTCTCCCCTTGAAGCCTGAGATATTTGGAAAAGGTACAGTGAAAGACATCTTTCTGAAACATAGAAAGAGCACAAAAACTGAAACTGAAATTCTTAAGATTAGCAGCGTTGCATTTTCCCTTTCATTTAAGGTTGCACAATGCCAGTATTCTCCCTCCTATAGAGTGTGCCTATTTACAGCCCCTTTTTCTAAGGTTTTTGTAAGAAGCTGAGCGAGCTCCTAGGTAAAGCAGCAAGAACAATGCATGCCTTTGGAATCACAGCTTTCAAATTGGAGAGGGACAGGGAAAGCAGCTGATTGACATAGCAGAATAGCTCCCTCCTTCCCCTTATCAGCAAAAGCAGAACTGAGGGAATGCTCTGGGGAATGCTCATGTTAAAAATCCCACTTTAATCAGAAGATTTTAGTTGTTTCTAGTAATCGATATAAAATAATTGCAATTACATTTTGCATCAAAGTAAACAGTAACCCAGTGTTTGTTCACTTGCTTATTACCAACATCTCAGGCAGTACCCAAGTTTGAAACTTATGTTTAATAATCTTTGTACTCTAGACAGCAAATTTTCAGCCACAATAAAATACAGTTCTTAGGGATCAGAATGGAAAGAAAATGTAGTCTGAGGGACAGCCACATAATAAACCATTGGATTACTTTAGAAAGGCTGTGAAATGCTGAATTAGCCTGAGAGTGATGTCTTTACTCTTTTCACTGTAGCAAGATCTTAATAAGACTATTGGAGAGAGTGTCCTGGGAGCTGCAGGCATTATTTGGTGCGATATGAATGTAACTTCTTCAGAGGTAAGCCTGTGCCTGATTTAAATGCAATGTGTAAGATCCTCATTCTATCCTATTAATAGACACTACCCGACTGCACCAGTTCCGAGCACTCGGTACCAGCAGAGCTGACTGCTTAACCAGTCTTTGCTGTCCCCCAGTCAGGATGACCATGGAACATGGTCAATTCTTCCTGCCTCAACAAGGTTTTGTGAGGTTCACAGGCAACCAGTGGTAGGGAAGGAAGCCAACAGCTTGTACCAGGCACTCTGGACGACAGTTCCTTGATACTATCCATTCCAGCTAGATAAAACACCAAGAAATCAGCTAGAGCCTGATTAGCCACCAGATCAGGTATACCAGTAGTGCCCAGCAATTTGTCAGATTATGAGAACTCTATTTGTGCTCATCTGTGGACAAGTAAAATGAAATAGGCTGTTGAGATCAGATGGAGAGGCTTTGTATTACGTGATGTCAGACCTAGCCACATTAAAATCAAAGACTGATTTCTGAGGCTCCGTCATCTCCTGGAGCTTTCAGACAATCACACATCAAACTTTGTCACGAGAAAAGACTTTGTACTTAAAGCTGTGTGAAATGGGTGTTCTGGGCTGCTTTTCTCCTGGCAGATAGCATAGAAAACCCAGCCAACATGAGAGTGAATGGCTGAAAATAAGTGTTCAGTTGTCCTCAGTAAATTCAATTACTTCAGCCAATTTTTGTAAATATTCAGCTGCAGTTTCTGTCAGAGTGAATGTGAATAGGAGGACGAACGTCCTTTCAGTTTGGTCAAGTGACAAAGGCAAGGCTCTGGAGCACCAGCTCCGGACCCCCACACTCTTGCCACACAGTCACACTGTCATCACCTGCATTTCTAGCGTACATCATGGCTTCTTTGTAAATCTACAGGCTGTGGTGGTTTCTGGGGTGTGCAAGTTGTTAAAGCCCTTTGCATCTCCATTGGGTTATATTTCCTGTATAAAACTTCCTAATAATCCTTTAAATTAGTTGAATTTAAATTATCCTGAATGAATTCATTGATGCTACTTACATATTGCATATTTTTCAGAAAGAGAAAGGAAAAAATAGAGTGGTTAGTTTGACATCAGCTAAAATTTCTTTTCTACTGTTTACAGAGTAACTGCACAAAAGTGCAAAAATCTGTTGATTTGGAATTAGAGCCCTACAGTATCAATGTCACATCAGCAGCTGAGGTGCACAGCAGGCATCTTTGTCAAGACAATGGACAATGTATACAAAGAACCTGGAGAGCCTCGACATACCTGCATTTAAATCCTATGAGCTTCTGGATAGATGCCTTGAAGGACCAAGGATTTATTGTGAAAGCAGAAGAATCAAATGAAGATCTGGAAATAACGGCAGAGACATTTGTCTGCCACTGTTATCAGGGTTATGAATGAACTGACTGTGGGGAAGTTAAAGTTGCTGATGACCATCCAGGGAGCTCTGTAGACTCTGTCCCACCCAGAAGATTTGCAGTGATCGTCCTCCTTTCTTTGCCTTTGACAGGTCTTTTCTAACTGCTGCTTAGTCAAAGGGCTGGTTTCAGTCCATTGAGAGGCATGGTAGAGTGGATCCAACAAAAAGTCTCACATGCTTTGCAGCTGGGGACTGGACATGTCATGGTCCCAGATGTAACCCAAACCCTGCAGCTGTGCCCTGAGATGTAATGCCCGTAAGGTACGGAGAGAGTGGGGCACCTTGAAGGCTGAGTCAAAGACACACAGGTCATAGGAATATGTCTTCATCCCATCTTCTGAGATTAGGCTGTTTAGTAGGCTAGAGGCCAGGTTTCTGCCCAGCTGACAGCCACAACAAGGACAGCAGAAGCCTGCTACTACTGGAAAAAAATAGTGTGAGGTTCACTTTTTCCCTTTGTAAAGAGAGGAAGAGTCTACCCATATCTGCTTCTTACAGGATGGCATGCTGGATAGAGCATCCTCCCAGAAAATGGAAGATAGAGAGGAGGTTTCTAGTTTCTTTTCCATTTGAGTGAATTCAAGTCCATGTTTTCCTCTTTCATGTCCAGTGTGATGGAGGTATTCATGCTTTGAGCCCTCCAGTAGGTAGAAAGGAATGAAAGAGCTAGGAGATCAGGGGAAAAAAAACCAAACAAGACACACTGTTGACTAGTAATTGTATACTGAGAAAGGAATGCATACATTCTAATCCAGCAACAAAGGGTCTTCCTGTGGTTTTTTTGTACCATGACTATTTAATATAAAGTTAATAAGTAGTGCTTGGAGCAGGAACTCCATCACAGCCAGGTTTGAAATTTAAAGCTAATGTAAGCACCTCATGGCTATTATAGAGATGTAATCAGCAATGATCAGGCAAGTTTATCATATTCAACAAGAAATTTCTGTCCCAACTGCCATTGTAAGGTCCATCCTCTGGAGGGGGTGGAAAGGTTCCCAGGGCTCTCCTTCCAGTCAGCAGTGAGAAGAATGCTCTTCTAGAGGTGACCATGAGCAGAAAGCATACCTGGCATGTCTCCAGGGCACTGGAGAACTTCCAGCTTCTCACCTTCCCAGCTTCCCAGGGGTTAAATATTCTTGAAAGAGAATTTACTTGAACAAAACAATTACAAACCATTTGGTTATTAATCATTTACATTAAAATATGCACACATATAATATAGATGTGAAATAATTGTCTCTTTATATTAGAATCTCTGTAGCTAGAAAAAGAATACGTAAATAGCCATAAGACAAATAAGGGACTTATGAGATCTATGCCAAGTTCCCTGCTTTTTTCTATTTGACCCAGGCAAACGTGAAACATACCATCCAGCTCCCACTGGCCTCCATTATTCCTTTTGTCCCAGAATCTTAAAGATCCCATCAGGCTTAGACCTTTGTGATTTTGCACCTCACAGCAGCTTTTCATTCTTCAAACATTTGTTATTAGTCTCATATCTAACCTCAGTGAGTTATTGCTATAATAACTATGTTAAACAAATGATTGTAAGGTGAAAAACCACTATGTTAATAGAGCTCTTGAAGGCAAGTGAGAGAAACTTTCATTAATTTTTTTGACAGAATTCCTTTGTAGGAAGAAATATTTAAAATTCCATTTAAGTTAGGGGAGACTGTGACCAAACCACAGCCAATCAATAAGAAATAAATTGAGTTTAGAATGATCCTGCTTTAAAAGAAAAAATATAAATGAAATTCAGGCTATTTCTTTCAAAAATAAATTAAGAAGATCCACTAAAAATTTTCTAAAGCATATTTTTATAGTGAAGAAAACTAGAGATATTCTGGTTGAATTTTCTTTGACGGAACGGCTTTCTCAGAAAAATGCAGTTTGTTAAAATCAAAGTGCTGATTGTGGTGGCTTTTTCAAATGAAAGGTGTAAAAAATGATTCGTTTGACATTCTGCTTGTGCTGAACGACTGAAGTACATGCTAACAGGAAACAAAATGTCTCTTAATGTTTTCTGAGCCGCATTGGATTAGATGCGGCTAATTTTGTTAGTTTTGACTCCTTGCTGTCTTCATTAAGGTCACATCTTAACTGCTCATGGTAACTAAATGGGAAAGAGAATCAGTGTTTTATAAAATTAGATTTCAAACTCTTCTGCGAATGTGTTCAATTAGCAACTGTCTGTAATACATTAATGCATCTTATATAAATTTTATGATATTCCATGATATCCAAACATGGATCCAGATATGCAGGATCAGATTTCTCCCACCCAATATACACATTGAAGTGAGACAACTAAATTAGAAGCTAACCTATTAGGGGGGAGGGTACCACTTGAGGCCCACTTTAGGTACAGTGGGGTTTAGCTGGCTTTGACATAAATAGAATTTGGGCAGATGCTGTTGAGACGGCAGTTTTGGTCAGAGGGCCCTATGTCCCCCCACAGTGTCAAGCCAGGAATGTAAGCCCTTGTTTGGATCTGGGCCACGTTTCCTCTTTAGGCAGAGATATGACAGCTGTTTATCAAAGCACAAACCACCTTTCTCTTATTGCTTCCTTCCATTGAGAGAAAGAGGGAGGTTTTTTGCCCCAAAGACTCAATTTTTTCAAGTGCTCTCCTGCTATTCTGCATTCAGAGGAAGACCTCAAAATACAGGTTACACTGAGAATTGTAATTCTTAATTATTACAGCCCAGGTAGGCAAACAACAAAGCACAGGCCAGTACAACAAAACTGGGCTTTCAGGTATTTCAGAAGTATCTATGAAATTTCAATCTCTCTCTTTCTCAACAGTATTGGCAGGCCAGATGATTTTGTGAGGATAAAGTAGCTGAGATCTTCGGTGTGCCAGTGACCACCTGCAGGATGGTACAGTGATGGCTTCCCAAACCACAGCACGGTACCCCACATGCGGAGTCTGTTCTCACAGGGAAGCTGAACCTGGTGCTCCTTCTGACTTCTCTGCTAGCATCTCCCTCCTTGTGAAGCCAGAGACTTTCTGGTGTAGATTCAGATCTCTCTTTCGTTCTCCTGTGAGGAGCACTTCTGATTTCCAGTTTTATAACTTTTTGGATTTCTGTTTTCTTCTCTTTGTGCTTTCTGTTGGCTACATTTCATGATCCTCAACTGATGTGCAGGTATTTGCAAATTTATTTCCCGGGATCTAACTGTCATAGAGCATCCTGTAAAGAATTAGATTGTTTAAACTTCAGACTGTGGGCTCCTCTGTGGTGTCCAAACCCTTAAGATTTAGGCATGCCAAAATTGAGCATTATTTTATGGATT